CACATCAGTGACAACAAGGAATATGTTTCTTTAAGTCTCAGGGATGAAATGGTTAAAGTAGTGAAGCTTAAGTTATGAATATGGTAATATAGGCATTCTAAATGATTCTTAATCACCCTAAATATAAAAAGAAAACTCAAAATGGCAAGCGCTTTAAACCAAGTATTCAGTGCATGGCATTTCAACTCCTTATATACTGTAAATTATATGCCATTCTGGGGTGTCATTTACTTTTCTCATCCTCCCCTCCATCCCCACACATCACCTTGCCTGCTAGATTTACTATTCAAGAGTATTCCTTACATAACCTAACAAATTTGAATCTCTATCTATTAACTTCTTAGTGGCTTTAGATAAACAAATGGACACACTGTGTTCATAGGTTTGAGAAGCATTGCAACAACCAATGGTGCCATGTTACACACAAGTGACAGAGAAACAAGACAATTCATCCTGGTCTTAAAATCAGATTATAGCCTAAAGAAATGTAATGTAATTTATTGTAATGTATTGCATATTAAACTTTATTATATTTAAATATCAATTATAAAGAAAAGTAGAATGATATCTGGAAAATAAAATGCTGGTATATCAATGAAGATAACACAGGCCTTGTCTCATTAAATTTTTAGGCCCTTTATTTATAGTTTATTTTGGATAATTTATAAACTTAGATTAATAGGCAGTAGCCTAAAAACCCTAAATTTATTTTAATAAAATCCTTAGTTCATTATTTTATTTCAACCCATCTAAGAGAAGGCAAACTCTGAATTCAAAGTGGCAGATGGAGTCCCATAGGCACTATGACGCTGATTCAATGAAAAATCCTGCAATGACGTGGAACGCATGATTAGCAGTGAGACACAGAAACAATTCAGGCCATCCACTGCATTCTAACCATAACTCCCATGCCCTTATTCTTTTGCTGCCCTCTCAGATACTACTTTTCAGCTGAGTGCTATTTTTAAAATTTCATTCTGTTTTTTCTGTTGTTTGTTCGCTGGAAAAGGCTTCCTGCCAATACGTTGGTTGTTTTGTTGCATTCCTTTTTACAAGTTTGACCTTCCTTTGTATTACTCATTTCTAATTTTTCTAAGCTCATTGCAGTCTCTCCCCCTATTACAATTTTATTTCAATTATTTCAAAGTTTGTCAAAAGCCCTGGCTCTATCTATGAATAGATGTTTGTGAAGATTTTAGGTTATTATTATTATATATTTTTCTAACTCTAAGGCAGTAAGTGATCTTGATAATTAGAATTACAAAAGAAAAAAAAAGAGCAGATAAAATTTAAAAAACTGGACTAATTGCCTAATTAAGAAAAAAAAAAGAATAAGAAAAAGAAATGGAGGGAGGGGGTTTACTCAACACAGTGGGAGGGGGTTTACTAGACATAAAGAGAGGGGAGAGAATTTTTCACTGGTTATACTAACCATATATTTTCTACGTATTTTTTATTCAAAGAGTTAAGACTAAGTAAACAAAAAAATTTAAGTTTTCAAAATTATAAAAATAAAAAGAATAAAGTTTGAGCGTCTCAATGTCAATATTTGATTTGGGCATAAATAAGCTCACAAAAATAATTAAGTTTCCCCACAGTCCCTCCATTCATGTCCAGATATAATTCAAAATTTAGAAAATATATTTTGAAATATTATTTACCTGTTGCGATTTTCTTTTCCGTCGGCATACTACTAAAAGAAACAGTTTTTTTCCTATTCGAGCGTTTTTTCCCATCCTTATTCATTAGACTAGATCGGCGCGGTATAACTTGGTCTGGTAAATTTATATCCGAATTGCATACTCCATTTTCTTCATCGTCATCTTCTTCTTCATCTTCTTCCTCGCATGCATTTAAACACACATTATTATCCCCATTTAGAAAAACGTCCTCCGTTTTATCTTCCATGGTGTTTACAATCCCATTCGTGTTTTCCTCTTCGTCCGCCATGTTTCAGATCATTTCTGAGACTGTCTGATCAAGCCATTGGGGGATAAAGCTTGTTCGGAAAACCATTATGAAAATGATAATTTGATAATAATTTTATCTCATTCTTCTTGGAAAAAAAAATTATTTGTCCCCATATTTTACTAGTCTTTCTTAGGAAATGAAAATGAACACTTAACAATTATGCCAATAAAGATTGAAAAGAATTCCCTTCAAAATTGACACCCCCTTTAGAAACATGAACTTGCCCATAACCCCTAGTTTGCCCAAGACTACAGTCGACACGAAGTTCTTCTTGAAGCCAATTACGTTACTTAAATATAAAGTTCATCATAAAGTACATCTGTTGAATCTACAAACCTTTTTGAGCTTTTACGAATTAAAAATTAATATTAAAAATATTTTTTATTGAAAGTTCTTCGAGGGCCCACGAACAATCTGTTGATCATTAATTTTGGCTCCTATTTTAAGCTATGTGAGTATTTTTCTCAATCAAAGTAAAAGAAAAATGTGTTTAATCAGGGCATAATAAAAATTTTCCTCCACTATTTCCTTTAACCATGACTAATTATATTTAATGCACTCTAATCAAGTTTTAAGTTCTTAAAATTATGTGACTCATTTATGTCTGTGATACCCTTTTCAATTTTCTATTTAAAAATATTTATATATATAAATTATTTTTTTTTAAATCATCATCTATATTTTCAACTTCAATAAAACAAAGCTGCTATCGTTTAAATTTTTAGTTTGAGAATTCGAAAGAAAAATCAAATTTTCTTTTTAAAACATTCATTTAATGAGTGGAAAATTTTGACCTGCAGCATGCGTAAGATGGTGTCGCCGTGGTGATGATATAATATTAAAAATAATATGGATACGTTGGTATCATAAAAATTAAAACTGGTATCCACAAGCAACTAGAAGGATTAAAGTACATTGCAAATCTCCGCTTCACATTTCATTTTGGTTATGTTTATGGGTAAGGACAGTGGTTATAAAATCATGTGTGGTGGTGGAGGGATAAAATGGACCCAGACACACAGCGCCACCATTGGCACCAGGGTACCATTAGACTCGAGCTATTCTGATGTCATTTATTGTGGTCGTATATTTTAGTTGAACTGAAGAAGTAAGTTTACAAACATATAGACCATTCAATTATCTTTAATTTGATACCTCATTTTGTCTTACAAATCCAACATTGATATTTTTAATAGTTTTTTTAATTCCAACCTCTCACTTCTGGTACCCGGGTACGAATAGGCGCAGCCTTTTTATTATTTGATTTTTCATTTTAAAATTAAAATAGTATTTACACTGATTGGACTACTTATACTTTCTTATTTTTACAACACTCTGACTGTACTATAGCTATATAAAATAAAAAACTATGATTTAAAGTTCGGCAGCTAATTTAATATTAATATCTAGGTAGTTTCTTCTCATTGTTTAAAATATTACATTATATTATTATATGATTTTCTTTTTTTTTTCTTTTTTGTACCCCCCTCCCCCCCCCCCCC